TCAATCACCAGCCAAAAGGAGAATGAGAGGGAGACAGGCCAAACAAAATAGTCACGCACGCACGACCCCCCACTCAGCCACGTTCAGCAAGAGAGAAGGAGACAGAGAGAGAAAGTGTGAGGGCCACATGGTGCGGGGGCACACACACACACGCACTCACTGCACGGGGGCGGCCTCGCCACTCCGCCCACCGCCCACCTGCCGGCGCAGCCAAATGAAACCCCGCCACCGCACCGCATCATGCGGCCCCGCCAAGCGCCCACGACGACGTTGGCTCCTCCCCGCATAGGAGATGTGCGTACGTGAAGCGCAGGACACACGACAACTGCGACATTGTTCCTTCACTTCGCTCGCATTGCACTCGCCATTCGCATCTCTCTGTGTGTGCGTTTGTGCGGCCTCGCGCAGGCGCCACCCACTCACGGTGGGAAATGACACCGCCTCGCTGCGGTGGCTTTTTGTGCCTTCATCCGCTGAGGTGAGAAGGGGCAGAGCACATCAGGCCGCCCACCCGCGAGGGCCGCCGCAGTGCCCGCCATGACGCAAGCACGCAGGGCGCCCAGCACGTGAACTCCGCGAGAGGAACGTTATGCCAAGCGACTTCGGCCGCACGAGGCGCAGCCGGCGAAGGCGGCGGCGGCAGTCGGGAGTGGGCCACGGCGCACTCTCACCCACCCGCTGTGCCTCTTCCCTGCTTCGTTCAGCCGCCGGCACATTTGCCCCAGCCGCAAGAAACGAGGGCAGAGTGGAGGTATGTTTCACGGGAGAAAAACAGCGGCTTCCGCCACGTTGCGGCCACCGTGCCGCCCAGTGAGCCCCACCCAGACACAAACTTCTTATTTTCTTCTATTTTCGGGCCGCACGCTCCCACAAGTACCCAGCGCGGAGTCTATATATATATATATATATACGATATTTCCTTCGCCTTTCCCAGATCTGGGCGGTCAGGGAGTCGCGCGCGAACGACGTTGCGATGGACAAGAACGTCTCAGAGTAAAAAGGTAAAGTAGTGCATGACTAAGTCTGTCGCACACAATTCATGCCCACGTCGCCTGAGATCCAGGTAGCATCCAGTACACGGCATCCACTTCATGTATATCTCCAACTGTCAGAGATTTTTGGTTGCAGGGTCATAAAACTTGTAATTTTTCCTTGCAATGCTATTTATTTATTTCTGAAGCACTTCCCCTTGCCGTTGTCCATATGTCCAATGCCCTGGATCCCTTCGGTGGCAGGGATTGCTCCTCATGCAACGATGTTTTCTGTGGACCGAAACGCATTGAGGCAATGTTGTCGTGGGTTTCCATTACCTCTTCCTCCCCTGCGATTGCCAACTCGTCGCCGACCTCCAACGTCGTCTGCAGCGCACGCCGAAAGGTGAAGCTATGAACGAGCATGCGAACGCTGGTGTGGACTACATCGGGGCTGAGGGTGACGTACGAGGAGACCAGGGAGTACCCCATGGCTTCGGTGTGTTCAATAAGTTGTTGCGTCACCGACGTCGTTAGAAGATCTGCTGTTCCGTTTGCCACCTTCGTCGTGACAAAAAAGGCTGCCCGCTCGTTGGTCTGGTAGCACTGCCAGTAGGTTGAGGATATCAGACCTTCCAAGTCGCGTCGGATGCGATGTGTGAGCCGCCGCAACTGAAACCCATTCGCTCCAAATGTGATGGTAAGGGCGTGCCGTTTGACCCCCTGATCGTGCTGCATGTGGTCGCAAATCTGCACCACACATATGTCAGGAAGTTCGACGACGTCGGAGCCGCATGTGTCTTGGGGAGCCGCAGGAAAGGCATGCTCCAAAAGTCCCCAGACGTCGAGGCAGTGAACGATCTCGGCCCGCAGCTGCTCGTTTTCCTTTGGAAGGCGCAGCTGGTTTGTTCTGAGGAAACTTAACACGCATTCAAATGCCTGAGGGGCGACATCGAGAAAATATTTGCACTTCTTGCGCCCACTGGCTGGCAGCGGAAACAGCTTTGCAAATGGTGCGTTCGGGTAGCGCAGCAGGGTAGAGAAATTTGTCTCAAAGACTCGGCCCCCGGCATTAATGATGGCCCGATGTCTCATTCTCGGCTTATGGACTCAATTGGCTCGGGCAGACGAAAAAAAAAACGGCATTATAGCAAAAATAATAAAATAAAAAGGAAGCAATGACATGCCAATGGTGATAATAGACAAAATGCAAAGAAGCACTCACTCACTCACTCACTCACACACACACACACACACACACACGGAGAGGAAGAGATAAAGAGAAAGAAAGGAAAAAAGGTAAAAAAAAACGAACAAAAAAAAA